CGCGAGCCATGTTTTTTAAAAGAGCAAATAATCTTGTTAACGCTCCAGGTCACTCGTACGACAGCGGCACTTGTAGGGTTTTGGAATGCACAAATCAAGTACCGCCGTCGCCGCCACAGCGTGTCCTCTCTCAAACAAGAAAAAAAATCATCATATTAATATGCAAATACCTCACCAGAAAAACCAGAGGCTATAAAAATTGCTATTTTCAAAACATTTTCAGTAACAATTCAGTAAATATTTCAAATTATTAAATTAATTTATTTGGTCGCTATTAAAATAAATTCTGGGAATTACAAACCGGCAAAAAACATTTTACTAAATTTGTATGGAAATTACTGTGGATTATGGTTTCTGGGGATTTTATTTAATTAATATTTTCTAAGTTGCGTTGAAGTTTTCACGCACAATTATTTGGTCGATTGGATATCAGTTGTTGACTTGTGCTAATTTTTTACCGCTGCCTCTGTGCACCTCACGTGCTGCATGGGGAGCACCGCGGGGTTCAAAAAAAAAATTTACAGTAATTTTATCGGTTTGCATTCGATTCGCAACAGGCAGAAGTGGAAAACAAACACAGCGTGTGGTCGCCTTTCTTTTCTTGTCTATCGTCCCGTTTTCCATCACGTGCGTTTTTTGCAAATTGCCTTGCTTTGGTTAATCAGGGAGAATGAACTATTTATGCCATTACAAAATTACATGAAACCTACCTTAATATGTAAATATAGTGAATGGAACACCTTTTATATTACCCCATAGTTTTTTTAAGTTCCTCTTGAAAATAAATTATTTAAAATCATAGTTTTGTTGTTTTTAAATATAGTTCACAAATTTTTTTATTTGATTTTATTATATATTTACGATTAAAACTAATAAATTCATTTTAGTGTATATTTTTTTAAAATATTATTTGAAATTTAAAAAACTTCATACAAATTTGATTGTATTTTGTTGTAAAGGCCAGTGTTGATAAAATTATCTATCTAATTTGATTTATATTCTATATAATAAATCCTGCTACGCTTTATCAAATTAAGATGACAAGCAATTGTGCTGCTACCCACTCCTCTGTGCTTAAAAATCAAAACACAAGTTTTTAACAACTTGCATTAAATAATTTAAAGAAAATCAAGTTGAAATTAATAAAGATAAAAATGCCAGGATCGGTAAAGCAAGAAGTTTGGTACCTAATTAACCATTAATGTAAACAAAAAAATAAAAGAGTATGCAAAACTAGGGAAATGAAACCCTCTAGAATCAAAATTTGAATCTGTTCATGAGAGTATTTTTTCTTTTAAAATTAGAAATTGTTTAAAAAAGTTTAAGTTTATTACTTCCGAATTGTGCCCGACCTTTAAAAAAATGTGTTTAATAAATTTTCTATAAAAAAAATCAATTAAATGGAACAAAACTTCTTTGGTATAATTACCGTTTCTTTTTTCCAAATTTTGAACATTACCAAATCTCGTCTCTCAACCAAAACACTCTAGGAAGCCGAAAAATGAATAAATAATTTGACGCGGGGCGAGAGCAGGGATGAGTGGTGTTGTTTCACAACGCCTGCGTCTACTAGGGTTGGCGGTGCGCACACTGCAGTCCTCGGATCGACTCCCGGCACTTAGTGGCCCAGAATTATTCCCTGAGCGCTCGAGCTCATCCGTTCCGGCGCCGGCCGACGCTGTTAAATATGCATGTGCATGGATACAAATTTGCCGGCTGAAAGTACAAAATTTTCCCAAAAACAAATTGTCTCCGTCAACCGAGCGTGAAATTTCGCCATAAATCGATAAAGAGAGAAAAGCCGACGGGACTCCGTTATGTAATTAAAATGTAAGTGTTAATTACTCTTAATGTCTTAATCTCATGTGGATTAACTTATCACAGAATGGAAATAATTTAAAACTGAACTTTGCGCAAACAATTAAAATGTTTCATTCTTATCTACACTGTTAAATTTTTTTATCAAAGCGTTTTTCATAGATGTTCAATGTTCCGATAATTTTATTTTGTCTTTCAATTTGGGAACAATAATTTCCATATCAACTAATTGAGATGTTTATCGTTGAGAAAGAACCCTTCCTGATCATTACGCGTGCACTTGACAAACTTAATGACCGCTGCTCACCAGAAAAGATAAACTATACCTTTACGCAAATTATACTCGCTTTGCCGACGATTCTAATGCACGCTCGAGTTTCTCCGAAATTACTTTCCACGTCGCTCGACTTCAAAATTGTCTTCCTTTGTTCATTCACTTCCCCTCACTCTCCAATCCGGTGTGGTTTTGTTTTTATACCAAGAGTGAAAAATTGTAATTGCAAACTTCTTGGTGGTAAATATCATCGTCGCTGGATATAAGCAGAGCTCATTATTCCCAATAACAGGAGCGGAAATCTCCTCTCCTCCTTGCCGCGCAAACATTAAAGAATAGACTTAAGGTTCAACGTGCCGTGATTAGATTACACCGTCTGCACTTTAGGTTGAGTTCTTTTACGTTGCACGATAATGACGGCGATGAGAATCCACTTGTTCTGAATCACAGCTCAGCGCCCTTTGAAATTATGAAATTTTCCTCCACTCAACGGAGTCCAAATATTAATATTTGAAATTCAAGCCTTAGATTACACTTATCTCGTGTGGGTGTCTCTCACTCAGAAATGTAAAAATTATCATGTTTCAATTAATAGGGAAATTTTGGTGATAATGGTTGGAATTCAGTGCGATTCTTTCTGTTCTCACACCCCATGCCCAAATTTGAAGTTAGCCGATTGAGATTTTCACAGCATAACAACCATGACTTAAAAGCACCACCCCTAAATTTTTTTGAAAAAATTTCCAAAATTGCGGGTTTTATGGGACATTTTGAAAAAATTAAAAAACCTAATTTTCTCGCGTTCTATTGATCGTAGAACAAAAATCCGGGTATGGTTGAATTTGTCTTGACGATTTCTACAAGTTTGCTGTTGAGTAAAAAGTTGTAGGTCAAAGTTCAAGGTCAATTTTCATGACCTCAAATTTTCAAATTCAAATTTGAAAATGGGCCGCACGTTTTAAAAAAATTTTGAGATTGCCATTCGATTTCTCATGAAATTTTACATAAAATATGTCAAAACTGGAGTGACGTTTTTCTTTGTTAAATTTAAAAATAAAAAAGAATATTAAAAAACGTGGTTTTTAGTGCCTCCGCAGGCAGGGTCAACATTATGATCGCTTTTAACGTCGTCCCTGATCATTTTAGGTAAAAAGTGATAATGACAAAAGTTAATGCCCACGTCAAGCCAAATCGAATGATGTATATATTGATGGCTTTTGGTGACCTTCAGGTCAAAGGTCACTTGATCTGGATGTGTGATATGTACTTAAAAAGGTCTCGTTGGGAGGATAATTTTGGTCACCAATTTTTGGTCTGTACCTCAACCACAAGCCGATTAATTATAATTTTAAAATTAATTGTGTTGAAAATTGTGCATTGAATTAATGAAAAACACAATTAATCGGTTTGTGGTTGAGGTACAGACCAAAAATTGATGACCAAAATTATCCTCTCAACGAGACCTTTTTAAGTACATATCACACATCCAGATCAGGTGACCTCAGGTCACCGACTTCGGTGACCTTTGACCTGAAGGTCACCAAAAGCCATCAATATATACATCATTCGATTTGGCTTGACGTGGGCATTAACTTTTGTCATTATCACTTTTTATCTAAAATGATCAGGGACGACGTTAAAAGCGATCATAATGTTGACCCTGCCTGCGGAGGCACTAAAAACCACGTTTTTTAATATTCTTTTTTATTTTTAAATTTAACAAAGAAAAACGTCACTCCAGTTTTGACATATTTTATGTAAAATTTCATGAGGAATCGAATGGCAATCTCAAAATTTTTTTAAAACGTGCGGCCCATTTTCAAATTTGAATTTGAAAATTTGAGGTCATGAAAATTGACCTTGAACTTTGACCTACAACTTTTTACTCAACAGCAAACTTGTAGAAATCGTCAAGACAAATTCAACCATACCCGGATTTTTGTTCTACGATCAATAGAACGCGAGAAAATTAGGTTTTTTAATTTTTTCAAAATGTCCCATAAAACCCGCAATTTTGGAAATTTTTTCAAAACAATTTAGGGGTGGTGCTTTTAAGTCATGGTTGTTATGCTGTGAAAATCTCAATCGGCTAACTTCAAATTTGGGCATGGGGTGTGAGAACAGAAAGAATCGCACTTCAATAATTGTCATGTCAATCAATCGTGTTGTTTTGAGTGCTTATTAATACTCAAACAAGAATATATTAAATTTAAAAAAATCAGAATTAAATTTTTCAACAATTTCTTTTCAACAGTTATTTTTTCATTTTTATTATTATTTATAATTATTAGTTACATCAATTCTTTTATAAATTTAATATTGTACATGTTGTAGTACTCTAAAATAAAAAGATCTTAGTTGGTATCATATAAATTTGGATGTTATTTTATAAGTTATTTGATTTGTTGTGGATTCACCTCACATCTATATATGAAATATCAATTTAATCATTGCTTACTCTCCATCTCATTACCAAAATTTCCAAATTTTGATCGATATTTATTTTAACGTAATAATGCTAAGTAAGAAAACATGTATTGTGAAGAATAAAATAACAGCATTAAAAACAAAATTAAGTGTTTCCTTTTTTTCAATAAAACCGGCTCTAAAAAATCCTTTATTTTGCTTCTCTTTTGGTAATTTATAATCATATTAAATATGAAAAAAAAAACATGATTCAAAGTTTAAATTTAGAGCAAACAAATTAAGGCATCACTAATTAGGTGGCCAAATGAGCATTTTGTCAGTTCGGAGCCCGCAGAGGAAACTTTTTGAGTCCAAATGAAGTCTTTTTCCGTTAAAGCTAAAGACATTTGGTATTAACGCGATGGGTCCGATGCAGCCGGCCGCTCCATAATTAACGTCTCTCGGCCTAATGAACTAACGCAAATTGCTGTTGGTGTTTCAGACACAGCGCCGCAGACCCTGCTGAAGGAGCCAAGCCGCGAGCCCGAAGGCACGCCAATGAGGAGGCTCATCCAAGTGGATTTCTCCAAGTTCCAGGTAGGCAAACAACAACAAACTCTTTCTCCTAACCGGATCGATTTGCATATATTTATTTCAATTAAAGAGTCACTTAAACTGATCAAAAAGAATCGTTCCAAAAATTTCCACCAAAATGTATGCCAACATTTGAAAACAGTTCCATATAAGTGGGATCCATAGGATTATTCTCATGCTATGATTTTCTTAATTTTAAAAATGAGCCTTATAAAATTTTTTACGTTTTTCCAATTTAAAAAAATCGGCTGAAAATGGTTTCTGAAGGTCTTACATGTTGAGTTGCGCAAAATAAAATTTGAGCGTTAACTCTAATAAAAATTAAACAAACGTTATCTTCAGAGAAAATAGCCAGAGCCTCCTCTGGTTATAGATAAAATGATTTCAACCTAATGTGAATGTTCTTAATACAGGCTTTTAGAGTAGTCCTGTTTTAATTACCGCCGGAAAAATCGATTTTGTGATCCGACAACTGTGCCTTGCGTGGAGTAGTGTTCGGGCGCGGATTGAAATTGTCTGTGTGTTTGACTGACGTCAAAGTGGTGCCGCATGCTGGTGGTGACAATGACGGTGTGCGCACATCCTATGCACTCCCTGTTCTTACTCACGGTCTGCGGACGGTTTTTGTTAATTAATTAATTTGAGTGGTTTGACCTACTTAAAGCCGCCGAGAGTTGGATTAACTCATCGTCAGAATCTTTGTTTATTGATATAAGACAGAGATGGGGATTTTCGGCAACGAATTTTAAGCTACAAAACGCAGGAATGGTTTTGAGTCACTTTTTATTAGTTTTTGTACAAATATTTTATAATTCTTCAAAATTTTCAGATTTTTTTAAATAATTTATTAAAGATTTTTTTTTTTTTTAAATTCAATTTGGCACTCTCATACTGTTCCCAATTAGATGAATTGATGATTAGCCTTGATTACGACACGGCACCTAATTGAACTGGCACCCAAACCTTTCGCAACGATCGAGTGAACAAGTCGGTAGCGCGACGGTATATGGGAAAATTTCCCGCGTGAATTGCACTTTGCCAAAAGTTTCCCAAGCTAATTTTTTCTTGCAGTCGTCACGATCGGCACACGCGCGCACATCTCTCGCAAAACACATTTCGTTTTATTCAAATTGGTGTGTGCAAGTTCATGCTGCTCGACGGAATCCTGTTTTTTTTTTCTCGGCGCAGCGACGACTCACCGCGTATTTCGCGAAGTGACCCAGCATGAAATAACCTCTCTCTCTCTAGAAATATAAAACAAAATTGTTTTCTCTTTCTACTTCTTATACTGCGGCACGCACGAAAAGCAGAGAAGAGTGATATTGTTTATTGCTGAATGGCAGAGATCAGTTTTGATACGAAGCTCTCTTGTTGATGAAATTTTCCGCAAGAAGTCACTCCGAGAGAAAAACTGATCACTTTTATAATCCGCTATCCAATGAGTGATGTTTAAAAACATTTCTGTTGACTGCTGTTTGATTTTTATTTTCAAAATAAAGTTTTGGGGCTAAAAGAGTTTATTGAAAAAATTAAAAAAGGAACCAAAATGTATCATGAAAGGTACAATCTACACTTAAAAAATACTTACAATGGATATTTTAGAACATGGAAATCTAAAAAAATGTTGCGAAATGTTGATTAAAAAAATAAATCTGTTCAAAAATGAAAATGGGTAAAATTTGATGCATTTGGTTGATTAAATGTGCTTAGTTTTGCTTCAAATTGTTCTGTATATAATTCATCAATGAAATCAATTTTAAAAGAGATAATTTTAATTCGAAAAGTTGATAGAAAAAATCACCGACTACTGTTTCCAGCTCCAATTCAAATATTGAAGAAAAACAGCAAAAATCTTTGAAAATCTTCTGAAATTTTGAAAATAGGCAAATATTTAGTGTCTACTTTGAAATTTTCTCTTTAACATTCACAAATATGCACAAACAAAATTGTTTCATTTGTTTGTTTTTATAATTTTTAGTTTCAAAATTCCTTAAAGTTCGGTCTTCTTTTTTTCTAAAAAAGCAAACAAATCAACACACTTTTAATTTAAATCATTATGACTTGCAACAACATATTTGTGAAAATTATATTATTTAAGAGTAAATTGAAATTGAAATTAGTTTTAGAGTGATAAATGAAGTTGTGTTTTCCTGACTTCATAAACATTTATATTGACACGCTATGAAATCTTCTTTTGAAAGTGAAACCATCCGACAATTATGGTTTTGAAACTGCAAACCCATCAGCTTAATTGCACAGCAGCTCTGTGTGTGCAAAACAAATATTTGAAGATGGACAACAATTTCGGTGGTTTCTGGTTTCGTGCCACGCGATGAAGAGCCAGCGTGTTACTAATGATATAACGCAATTTGCCTGCTGCTGGCCCAGATTCCGAGAGACCGAATCGCAGGACGGTTCATTAAGTTCGAGAGATCGTGGCGAATCCAACATCAAATAACGCCAGCATCCGAGAGATGCTTTCCCACACTTGATTTCACTCGATCATGGAAACTGCCAGCTTAATTCTCTCTGCATCAAACGCGCACTTTTAGCCGATTTGCACTTTCATTTGGAGATCAATTTGCCAAGTGGAAGTTCAAGGGTCGACATTAATTTATGCCCCAGGTTTTGTTGACCTTTGCGGAATGTGCAGCGGTTCAATCACCTCTCCTCGGACTCGCGGCAAATAATAATCTGTTGATGTGCTGCCAAAAGAAAAAAATGAGCATGGTTGCATAAAAAGTACCGCATCGGGATTCGTTTGGAGAAGAGAGAGAAAATATACAAAAAGCCACGCATTCACGATTCAAAGGAGAAAAGTGAACAAAAGGAAAAGATTAACAGAATTTTTTATGGCTTCTCGATTTGATCTCTTTTATATCCGTTGAAAAAAGAACTGCATTCGTGCACGCTTGAGAACTTTCCATTTTTTCTTTTACAATAATATAATTCTTTGTAGTTAAAAAAACTTCAAATTTTCAGTATCACACTTTTGTAAAAAGAAAACTTAAAATAACATTCTTAATTATTTTTGTTTGTTTTAATTTTTAAAAAATAAAATATTTTATTTTTACATAATATTACACTAGATAATTCTTTTATTTTAAGCAAAAAGCGCAATTATAATTAAATATTTTCCCTGTGTTTTTTGATTGTATATAATATATATTCTATCTCCATATGGCTAGTCAAAATGAAAACTTGATGAAATAAATAAATTGTACTACTACAATCATTCATTTGGAATTGTCCACTTTTCATTTGGTTAATTACATTTTGCTTTGAGGGTTAAATCATGATAAAAACGCTAACTGAGAAATTTAAAACACATGAAGGGTTGAAACTTGAAAAGTTTAATACATATTTTTGGAAAGTAGTTAGAATATTTGGCATTATAAAATTTTTAAACAAGGACAAATTCAATTAGATTTTACATTTTGAGGAAAAATATTAGAGTTGAAATTATATGATTTTGAGTGCATTAAAACCTTGACTGAGCAGAAAAATGCATTCCGCAAGAAAAATTAATCTGGTTATGCAAATGGGACGTCCTCCAACTCGAATTCAAATCGTAAAACCACACAAAGTCGCGTCAGATTTCTGTTACGAATCGCAGCAGCGTTGGCACCAAAATCACGTAAAAAAAATAGGCCACATGTGCGCGGTCCATTGTACAATATAAAGTGCAGCGCTTGCGCCGGGGCTATGCATTTCGGTCAGTTTCCTCGACAAAGGAATCGATATGACCCAAGGGTTGCACTAAAGTGTGTCAAACCGAGAGCTAGCGGAGAGCAAAGCAAAAACGCTCATTGTTTGTGGGTCTGGCCCGAGGCTCCGTGATAACTTACACTTGATGAGCCAAAAATGCTTTTAGAAGTGGCCGGGCAAAGAAAGCATCAATGCAAATTGCTCGGCCCAAAAAATGCTGCCACAGTTTGTTCTCCAGAGCAATGATTTTTATACTCCGTCGGGAAAGTTCAGAAGTTTTTTTATAGATCGCTCTCCGGATAAAATTTTCTCTATTTCTTCCGTCATTTATGCTCTGCATTGCGCAAATCTGCTCTCCATCTAGTCTCTCTTCTTCTTCTTCTTCTTCTTCTTCGCCGTGCTAAAAAATCATCAGTTTTATTTCGGTGTACAGCAGCCTTTTATATTTTATTTATGGCTTCCAAGTTTGCTGCTCATCGTTTTTCTCCTCTCTTTCTTGCGCCGCCGGCTTTTTTGGTGTGTTTGCGAAGCATTCAAAATTTATGGCCTGCTCATTGTTTCCAAGGATCTCTTTATCTTATATGTGTGGGGTGAAAGAAGCGCAGACTTGAAGGGTTAAATTGTTGCTAAAATACTCTGAAATCAGTTTTTGAACTTCACAATATAATAAAGAAATTGAATTATTTATTTTTAAATTTAATTTTTGCTTGAACTTTTGATAACATTCAAAACATTTTAATTCTGTTTTGAGAGAACCAAAATCATTTCTGATTTCAATTTACCTTATATTATAATGCATTTAAAAATATACAGTTTCGGAGATGCACGCTAACTTTCTCTTTGTTAAAAAAAAAATTGGTTTTTCCAAGAGCATGTTGGAAGCTTAGAAATGTTTCAGTTTGTCATGGGGGACAAACTTATCGATAAACTTTTGACTTTTCCGCCTGCTTGAACACCCAACCGTCTCATCTATCCAGTAAAACCTTTTTATCAAATTGAAATTCCACCCAGGATTCATACTTGAAAGCCAGCCAAAAGTTTTGTCAGAGCTGACGGTGAAACTTAAATTGTGAATAGTTTGCAGAAGTAATTGAATGCCCTCATTAGAACTTGTGTCATGGAAAATTTGCGCAATTCCAGCTTTTTTTTAAATTTGCAAACAAATGGGAAATATTTGGAAAAGTATGGATGAAATTTGTGTGAATTAAATTTTTGTGAATTCCTTAAAAATCAGAATATCAGTAGTCATTTGAGGAAATGTTAATAAAATATAAATTCAAAATTAAATTTAAAAT